CTGAGCAGGTTTTGTGAATTAAAAAGGTCATTTATTAGTGCCTTTGCTGGGCCATGGATGGATCACGCTGGTGGTGCAGGATCCTGCTTCCCACAGACACCTGCCTGGAAGCAGGGGAGGTGGGAAAGAGCCACGTCTCTCCCCAAACTTCTCCAAGGATTACCTCAGGACCCCACAGGTCAGGATGGTCTCTGGCTCTCCTCCCTCCCCCAGATAACCCCCTTTCTGCCCTGAATGGCTCCGGCATTCACATATTTGGTAGCAGTACCCTAGAAGGGAATATGAGGCTGCAAAATTCCCTCTTTCTCAGCCCCCAAGAGGCCAAAAGAGAAACTGGATTACTTGTTACTCCATCACTGCCTCCAGAGCAAACCTGCTGGGAGATTCAGGGGGACTGGATGTACCAATGGCCACTTCTAGAGAGTGACACACTCCTAACTCTTACATATATTTTTCATTGCTTCCCACTAGGGGTGAGCTGGAGACCTCATTAGCACATGTCTGGGAACCTTGGCTTTGACCTCACGTGCCAGTCCAGTGACAGGTTGTACCAGAGCCCCCAGGGTTTTGTTCAGGAACCAGGGCAGGACTGTGGGAGCTGAAGGCAGGTTCCCTCCCCTCCTCAGAGCCACCTGCACCTCACACAGCAACAAACCCCTCCCTCTCATACCTAATTGTAGCTACCAGGGTCCCATGGGCACTACCTGGGGAAGGGCAGGTCTACAAATAACACTCTGGTAGTCATGAGAACCACACTCCCTGCATGGGAGAGACATCTGGATTTATAATGGTTGTTTCTTCCCAGTTGGAAACTAATTCCTTTTGCTCTGCATTTGGGGGGAAAACTTCAATTTTAATCTGCTTGCTGGGTTTCCATAGAGCCCTCAATTGTCACTTATCAGACCTGCTCGTTTCCCTCTTCCACCAACATGATCTTGCATTTTATTTTTGAAATAGCAGGCTTTAAAATAAGACACAGCACCCCACAAAGCAGAGAGGATATTCATGGAGTGCTTTTAAAAAGCATGTAAAGCTCATGCCAGGCTGATGGATGTGGTATGACGAACCTAGAGGCATGATGGAAAAAGTAAATGGCAGATCCCAAAATGCAGGGGTGGAGTGGAAGAATGGGAAATGGTGCCTTGATTTGCCAAAGTGTTTCTGTTAAAGAGTATTAATCTTTTCAGACAATCCATGGAAAGGCCCTGTAGCAATATCATATTAAATTAATAGAGTCCCATCATTATGGTAACCTCAGCTCAGTTTTGTAAGATGTATAGTGTCATCATACCAAAGAAGAGTCCCTGCATAATTCTGCTCCCACAGCAATTGCTGCTAAATGACACTGACATGACAATCCTCAGCATTTTGGGTGCCTGTCTGTCTCAAAGGGGGCTTTCCTCCGGCACTGCAGGTGCCCAAGAGCAGCCTCACAAGTTGTACAATTCCATTTGAGCACTAAAGATTTCCCCACCATCAGAAAATATACATTTATGACCTGCCCCTAGAATAAATCACTATCACAAGCAGCCAGATTATCAATTAAATGGACAGCTCCTCCCAACAGCACTGTCCATCACAGAGCTCCCCAGGTGTTGGCACAGGGGGTCAGAGGCTCTGGTACCTCCAAAACAAGAGCCAGGGAACACAGCCATCCTAAGCCTCAGGGGGGTTGTGTAGATCTGGCTCCCAAACCACAAAAATTATCATTCCAAACCAGGAAAGATCACAACAGCCAGGGAAATTATACATAGATTACAGAAAGGAAACTACGAAGACAATCCCAGCCTTCACACAGCTGAAGTCTTTCTCTGTTCCCTCATTCTGCACTTCTGCAACATAAACTGTCCACGCCTCTTTCCACCACCACCCCTCTCCCCACAGTCCACAGAAGATCTGAGTAACGTGAACTTGTACCAGTGGCTTTTCATTAGTAAAGCTGAAAGTTAAATCAGCAGTCTCAGGAAGCTGGATGGCAGCTTAAAATACCCAGCAGTGAGAGAAACAAGCAGTGAATGAGCAGAGTTTGACACAGCAGAACTGGCACTTCTCAGCCAGGTGCCCCTTCCACTAGTGAGAGACAGTGGCAAAACTACCAAAAATCTTCTGCAAGGTTTCCCTCTTACCCTGCATTTGGAGCCAGACAGAAGTGCCCAGACAATTGTGGTGCTGCAATGTGTTTATGAAGGATTCCAACCTAAACTGTGCCTTCCAGGAACACAGTTGCTACTCACAATTCAGGGGATTAAATCTGTCCCTGGCAGCTCAGGCTCAGAAGGGCTTGGGAAGCTGCTCCAGCAGGCAGAGGTACCTCAGTGGCTCCTGCACCCACCACCCTAAATGGCCATACTGCTGGAAACTAGCTTCCCAAAAATCTTCAGACACAGGCTCGAGGGGGAAGTAAAGCAGGGAAAAAAGTTCCCAACTATCTCTAGACATACCACTGCACCTCCAGAAATCTGCATGATTGGCTGCACCGTGCCTGAGAGTGCACAGAGCAGCCCCTGCAGCAGCCCAGGGGATGTACAGATGATTACTAATTGCAGACACCTTGTACTACAGCATGTCTTTGCAACCTGCCATGGCCCAGCTGAATATCAGACTGACTGCCTCCAAGATATTCATGGCTGGCTTTGACTGTTGCTTCACACAAAGAGTTTTAATGCCTCCCCAACATAAGCATAAAAAGAATGGGTCTGAGTTTGTCCAAAATGAGCAATCAAGAGGGAGAGTTATTTGGTAATTTGCATCATTATGTCTGTCTGCTGCTGCATCTTTGCTGACAGCTTGTTTTTAAGCACTGGAATCCAACTTAGGAGTCTTTCAAAACAAAGCAACCCTCTTGCTGCCATGGCTACTTGTCTGGGGAGCTTGGCAAGGAAAGAAGAAATATATGTGTAAGCACTGGGAGTCACTGTCCTATTTCCAGCCCAGCAAGCCGGGTGTAGCACCATGAATTAACTGCCTCCCTGCTTTCCAAAAGCGAGAGCCTTTTTCAGGTCACCTCTCAAATTTAATCAATGTCAAAGCATTTCTAGAAGCTGAGGGCACATCAGCATGCTCACTGGCTGAAGGAATATGGACTTCCCAGCAGTTAAGCCATATCAGGATCCAGCATTTGATGCAGGATGTACCATGTTGATTTTACACTGTCAGGTGTTCCCATGCATGTGGACCAGCAAACTGCACCTTATTCCCTCAGCAGGGGCTTCCTCTCGCATGATCTACACACAGTTTCTCCTGCTGATTCCCAGTCTTGAGACACTTAAACAAACAACAAGATTTTCCCCTTCCCTTGAAAAGGAACCCAGTAATAATAAAAAAACCACAACAAAAGCAGAACTCACTTTTTCACCGTGGTCCATTCTGCACCAGCAGCCCAAGGCCTCACAACAACAGAAGAACTTCACTCCTCCCACCTTCACCTGCTCTCTCCTTCTGCAACCACCACTCTCCTCTCCCACAGCTGCCCCTCATCACACACAGCAAGGCTTTCACCAATCCTGGGCCGCCTTCTGCCACAACCCAAATGCCCTCCCTTCTCCAGCTGGCTGCTCCAGGTGATTTCAATAATTACCCCCCCTCCAGCAAACAGGTCCAGCTCTGCTCCCAGCCTGGAGAAGGGGAACATGTTCACCCAACACTGTCTCCTTTGGAGGAAACAGGGCCACTTTAGCCTGCTCCCATTTTTATCCTTTACAACTGGGAGTCACTGAGCTTCTCAGATGAAAGGCTCTCCTCTAAGTGCAAATTATTATTAATGAATTTCCATCTTGGCTCCTTGACAGAAAAACGTACCTTGGAGCATGTTATCTTTGCAGCCATGCACCCCTGGCACTCACAGATTCCCTCTCCTGGCAAGTGAGGCACAGTGACAGGAGGGATGCTCAGGCAGCTCTCTGTGCCCCATCCCAGTGCCTCTGTAACAGCAAAGCTTCAGAAATGTAAATCCTGGCATTTGACCCAATGAGAATTTCTCAAATACACGATATTTCACACCCTGGCGGTTTCCTCCCTGCTGAGATGATCATTTATGGTGGCTCGCTGAGAACTGGGCTTTGACAGAATTTTTTGGTCAGTGGAAGACAAATTGAAAAATTTCAGTCTCTGCCTCTGAAGCACCATGTCCTGCAGCTTCAGAAAAATTAAATGCGAAGGCAGGGCTGAGTTTTTCCCTTTTTTTTACCTCCCTCTGTTGTCTCTTCAAATACAGCCTGTCCTCCTCTGCAAAGACCATGCAGTTTTGACACTGTGCTCCTGTCCAGCCACCAGCACTGGGCTCCTGAGGGTCCCATCCCTTGTATGTGCTGTGCACCAGGGCTGAGCGACACATGAACAAGCCTTCCTAAAAATGCACTTGGAACAATCACATTCCGTGCTAGCACAGCGTGTTATTTTTGCTTGAATACTGTATTTCTTGCTCCTCTGCTGTCGTATTTTGCAGCTCTGTGCCGTAAATGCCTTTTTCACCTCAGGGCCACCTGTGCTCCCCCAGGAAGATATACGGATCCCTGAGGTGTGGCTGATGCATCGCTGTGCTCAGCTTGTAAAGTAGCTGGGGGTCCCTCTGGGACTGAGGGTGCTTTGTACATGTCAGTTGTGATTCAGTGAAACCTGCTTCCATCTGAACCCGCCGTATCAATCAGAGAAGCCACGTAATTAATTATGACTGGGCTGCACGGCCGTTGCTCGTGTCGGGAGCCCGAGCGCTGGAGCTGCTCGTGCTGATGGTGGGCACGAGGATGAACAAGATGAATAGTGACACTGCCCTGAACTGTGCCTGGCTGCTGTCTTCTCCTGCCATCCATCACCGTCACCACACGTTGGCTGGGAAGGGGAAGCACTTCACAAAGGAAGGGTCAGGGCGGCGAAAAAACTTTCATACATCTCTATTCTGTCCTCAGAAAGCAGCTTAAACCGTGTTTCTGTCAGGTAGTGGATCAGTATTTGAACACAGAAATGACAGCAGGAGCCCCCTCCCCTCAGAAAAGAGAGGTTAATTTGTCAAGCCATGTAAAGCATTTTAATTACAATTCGTATAACATGTATAAATAAATATTACATTCTTTCAGTCTACAATGCATACTAGGCATATCTTGTTAAAATGTCCATCTATGTTACTGGGTGGCAGGATTGATTTTGTCCAAGTAAAAAAAAAAACAAAAAACAAACTACTGAGTTTAGTAATTAAAAAAAAACCCCAAAACAACGCAATACATGGTAAAGACAGGACAATGCAAGTGCTTCTGGCTAACAGTCAGGACATAATACTGCTTTCCAAAGGCTGGGTATACCATCTTCCTTTTAGTTAGGAGAGGTTTTGGATGACAGTGGTTTCCTCATTGTATAGATTTTGATCTGTGTCCTCCATTAATGGGAACTGGCACTGAGTCAACACAGTTCTGCCAGTTTACACCACGAATTAAAACTCTATTTTGTATTTGCTTCCGATTTACTACTGGGTCGGTATTTGTTTTTTCAAAACATCAGCTTTACAATCTAGTCTAAAACTTTCAGTCTTAGCTGGTCCAATGGAAAAAAAAAAATAAAAAAAAAATCTATAAAATAGCTCCAGGTATTTCTTGGTCTTGCTTCAGCAATATTCCCCTCCCTCTCCCCAACAGTCTGTCCAGAGGCCAGCTCTCCCAGTACAAGGAAATAAAAGTTTGGGGGCAATCAGTGTCTTTCTGTCCACTCTTCTTCTGGCTTTCAGAGCTTGATGAGAGCTGGTGGCATTAGAATAAACAGAAAATTACAGCACAAAATTATGAATTCATGAACTTGGCAAAAAAAAAAAACAAAACAACAAACCAAACTAAAATCCAGGCTGTACATATTTGGCCTGTGATGGTCTCAGTTCCAGGTACATTTAAAATGCACCAGTGGGGAGCTCCCATCCTTGGTACTTCTAAAAGCTAACATAAAACAGCACCTTCTTCCCTTGGTGAAAAGTAGGAACTTTGGTTGTGGAAATTTAAAACGAGCAACTAAAGAAACAATCCAAACCTGAAAGGAAAATGAATACTTCTTCCAAACAGAACATCTTTCTAGCTAAGGGTGAAATGGAGGCTTAGGTTTTCAGAAGAGACACCACACGGAAATTATTAGTCAATACTTATCCCTTGAATTCTTTAAATGACAGGAGACTATTTATAGCTAACTTGGATGTTCTTGGCCCACTGTGAACTTAAAGAATTTTAAATTTTCCTGTCTTCAAGATATTTAAAAGAAAAATACAAGAGGGAAATATATTCTGTTTCAATTTACAAGACAAACGGAAAGGTAAAAATAAAAATACCAGGTAATTTCTTCCTCCTTCATGTGTAATGCCAAAGACACATCTTCACTTCAAATGAAGGAATGAAAAGAAATGGCTTGAGTAACAATCTAAAAAGTCTCCTTGTGGGTCATATGCCCATAATTGTGATGTTTTACTGGAAATAGAAAAAGTTATTGTTTGTCTCTTGCTTATTGTTTTCATGCTCTTATATTCTCTCATTTCTTTTTGCAGATATTTTTTTGGTACTTTGAAACAATACTATCATTATTATTTGTATGACCCATAAAATGAATTTTCACAACCTCATCTTGTCCAGTTCATCATATTGGTCACACCATTTCCCTGTTCCTTTCTGCTATTTAGATCCCACTTCCTAAATCCATGAGTAGCAGAATAACCACTGGAAAAAAAAAACCCCAAAACAAAGTGAAAAAAAAAACAAAAACCAAACAAAAACAAACCATGGACAGTTTGGCAAATTTCTTTCCCTGATTATAAAAACTGCCTCATCATTTCTCCTGGTGATCCCTTCCCCTCCCCCTCTCCTGTCCCAATATATACTGTAGAACTGAAGGCATCAAGGTGTGGTTAAACCCCCCCCCCAAAAAAAACCCCAGCGAGGAGCTACACTTTGTCTTTGAACTTCTCCATGTAGTTTCGTATCTCTTTGGAGTCCCCCAGGTCCATATCCTGGCACACCCACTTAATGTCATCGTCATTGCCACTCAGGATTGAGTTGACAGTGGGGCAGCCGTCGTCGGGCGGGATGGTTGTGAACGTGGTGAATTTTACCCGCTTCCGTTTGGATGTCGGCGAATGTAAACCCTCCGATTTCTGTTCCTTCCCCGGCTTGCCCCCCGAGTCTGCACACCTGTGGACCTGGCCCTGGATGTTCTTCTGAGCACTGCCATTGAGGAGCTGGTTGCTCTCCTCGCTGCCCGAGCCCCGGTCAATGATGGTCGTGTGCTCGTCCTGCTGAGGCGACGCATCTGCCGTGTTCTCCAGCAGTTCTGCCTCGTTCCCCAGCCACACCCAGTCATGGGAATGGGTCATGGTGGTCTGTCCTTCCACCAGGACCTGCTTGTGGCGGTACTTCAGTGCAAATGTTGCACAGTTTATTAGGAAGACTAGAATTGCCAGGCAGAAGACCCCCAGCAGCGCGTACATCCCGATCTCCAGATCACTAAGGCCCCTGGGTGTCTGCACCAGGTCGCTGTCCTCTACACCCGCACTGCCCTTGGGGAGGTCCACTTGAGCAGGGAAGTTGGTGAAGTCTATGGGAATGTTCTGCAGCTGGCTGTCGTCCGAGAGCTTGCCGCCGTCCAGCCTGTTGTTTTTGAGGACCTTGTTTTTCAGGATGGACTTTGCCGTGGTGCTGGCTTTCCTGACGGAGCCCTCCTCCCTCTCCGCCGAGGAGCCGCCGTAGTACCGCCCGTCCTGGCCGTAGCGCTCCTGCTCCGACGCCTTGTGCCGCCGGTCGCTCGCGTGGTTCTCGATCTCGTCGCCGTCGTAATCCCCGCCCGCATCGGAGTCTGCGTCGTTCTGGCCAAACTTCACCTTGATGTTGCCACTCCCCACAGCCAGAACGCTCTTCCTCTTGGACTTCTGGCAGGCTTCGGAGATCATCATGTCCACCTTGACTAACGTGCCCTGGCCTTCGCCTTCCGCCGCCACGACCGGCCACCTGAAGGCAGCGCTGTGGTGGGTGGAGACGACACCTTCATCCAGCGACACGGCAGAGAGGGAGAAGTCCTTGGGGTCATAAATGTCCAGGGGAGTAACAGAGCTGTCACTGAACTGGATCCAGGTGCTCACTACAGCTTCCTGAAAAGAGAAGGGTACGGTTAAAGGCAGGGCCTTAAATAAAACAGCTCAACCCACTGCGGCTCATCAATCTCTCAGCTCGGAATGGCAGCTGGAGGAAATGGAAAACGGTGGCTCTGCACTGCGTTTAAAGCAAACCAACCTTCAGCTGATGGGGCAGAAAATTGGCCACATTTTTTCACTAAAGGTTCCACTGTTATCCTTCCTGCAAATGTTTTGCAAAAGAACATATATAAAATAATTGATATGAGATGTCCGTGATACCAAAGTGCCCATTAACAAGCTACAGTTTTACATGATTTATAAAGAAAGTAATTCTCGTCATACAAAAGCTGGAAGAGGCAAACCAGAAAAATGACTGGAGGCACTTGACAGAACACTCATTTTCTTCATGTTCCCCATGCACAGGTGTAATGGGGAGCTGTCAAGTTAAGCAGGGCACAAATATCTTGGCAGGAATAAGGAGCTACCAGAGTATCTTGGAAATAGTCGGAGCAGAAGATTCACCTGAAAGAAAAAGACTCAGAAAACAATTGCCATTTTGCTTGTTTTAAGTAAAATATGCTTTATCCTTGAGATAATTAAAAAGTCCACTCCATTTTTGTGTCAAGAAGAGGAGGATGGGAATTCTGGCATGATCTATACAATAAAAATACAAATGGTCTGGATTTAATTGGACTGTCTTTGTTCTCTGCAGGTAGCACTGTTAGAAGTCATCATTAGAAGCAAACACAAAGCCAGAGGTCAGCTCTTTGCCATTTGAAATCCCATCCAGATGATACAGATATTTACTTCTCCACGTCTCAGTAGCTTTCTTTGCAGGAAATTTCTTTAATTTTTTATTTGTTCCATGTCTTGCCTGTTCAGGCAGCAGACAGGCAGGCAGATTCCCTGAGTGCAACTACCCACAAAAGTGAAGTTCTTTTCTTCCCACACTTAAACCACAAACGGCCCTAATAACTTTACACTCGGGTACGTCAGAACAACTGGGCTGAAAATCACCACTGGGGAAAAATATTGCCACCCTCTTAATGTCCAGTCATAATAGAAATTTACAACTTAATATGGATTTCAATTGGCTACAATTTGTTACGCCATGGTTACAAACAAAGGGAATTGCTACCCTTCCAGTTAAATTTAAAGCTTTTCAGTGAAAACAGCAAGGAGCATTTAGCTGTGCAGAAGGTTGGACCATACTGAATATTTGATTTCCAAAGCACTATCAGCAAGTTCTCGAGGGGCTGAAAGAAGAAAAATAAGTTGTGGCACAACAGGAAAGAAGGCAAAGTTCTTGGTGATTCAAATGTACTTCAAACAGCTGAAACGGGGCCAGGGTAACTCAGGAACTGGGGAAGCTGAACTGTGTAAGGAAACGAAACCAGCTGATCTTTCATTAGGCAAACAACCCTGAAATGGCTGAACAGACAGAAACACAAAGCTACAGGGCACAGCTCGAATTCATATCACAGAAATCTATAGCAGAGCAAACCCGGTCCTAGGAAAGTAAAGGATTTTTTTTTTTTAATGGGTATGTGTAAAGAGGAAAAGATTCATCTCCTCTGGCAATTCAACACCCTGTTGCCTTCCTTCTCCCTAAAACAAGAGGTCAGCCTCGTGTACCACTGGGGAGGTGTGGAAGATACACTTAATTTTTCATCAATCTAAGGAAAGAAAAAACACCAGCATCATTCCAAGCACATTATCACAACGGGCCTGGCACTGCCTGCCAGTGCTGCTCTATCTTGGAGAGCAGAATGAGAAAATAAGTGCAACATTTGTCCAGCTAAGGCTGGAAATTATGAGACCTGTGCCTCCTCCCAGCTCTGCTGGGGACATCCATAGCTCCACATCTCTGCAAAAGGATTTGCATCACCAAGTCCTTGGTGCATTCCCTGGCAGCCAAACCCAGCACACCTGGCACTGCAGGGCCCCAGCTGTGCAAGCAGGTTTCCTTGGTGGTACAACAGCACCTTTGAGGGATCTGGAGGTTCTGTCCAGACCCTGGAGAGGAACACACATGACAAGCCATATATTCTTCTTTCCTGTCTTCTTCATCCCTGTTTGTTTTTCTTATTTTGATGCCTTTCAGCTTTATCAACCCTCAGGTACCTTCCACGTGCAGAAGTAGCCAGCATGGAAAAAATCAGCCCAAATGGCCAGAATCTGACAAAGCTGCAAGCAACTTCAAAACAACTTCTATTCTTTATGCTATTTCTCTACTATTCTGCATTCTCAGTTTTATGAAGCAGAGACAGAGAAAAATGAAGTGGCAGTCAGCTGAAATCTGCAGGCACACATGTGATTTACTGTAGATAACAGAGGTGTGCAATGGCTTAGCCATTATTTTCAACCAGCACTGACGCTTTTTATTGCCAAGAGAGCCTTTCTTTAAAAGAAGAACCATTTTTTTTCACAACACAACGTTGTCATGCTCATACTACGGACAGCATTAATTAAAAGGGAAAGAAAACCAATGAAAGAAAGAGGGAGAGAATTTAAAATCCTGCTAAAATATACTGTATCAGCCCAAATATTCTACTTGGCAAGAGATCACCTCCTCTCATTCACACTGTTAAAGGAAAGGCAAAGGCAGGGGAAGGAAGTGAATTTCCCAAATGATTATAAATTCTGAAAAGCAAAAAAGAAAAAAAAGAAAGAAAGAAAAAATAAATGATTTAGTACCACGTCCTTCAAGGAGCCCTTTCTGCAAATCCTGTGTACAGCATCAATAAATCCCCTCCCAGTCTCTGACAAGGTCCTCCAGTTACCATCAGCAGATGAAGACGGATTGGAGCCTTCTCACCTGCAAAGTTGCTGCCCCCAGTCTGATGCCCTCAACACTGAGGTGACAAATGCTTGTGTTCTTTAATTATGAAGCAAAAACAAAGAGTTTGAGGGATTATCTTGCTCTCTGGTCTTTCTTTCCTCCACTTTTCCAGTCTCTTCTCTTCACATATGCACACACACACACACACACGTGCTCAGCTGCACTCCCAGAACAGATGAACCACAAAGACACAGCAGTGCCTGTGTTTCCTGGAGAACAGGATGTCTGTATGGTGACTGTGATGATGTGAAGTGAGTCAGATAATGTACATTAGATCATGTTAGAGACAGCAAAATCCAGTCCAAGGGAGATGAAGAAACTGCTTCCCACAACCACTGTTCATAATCATCAGGCTTTCATTAAACACATACACCCCTTCCTTTATCAAGACACATTTTGAACTAATATTGAACTCAATTCTGTCTACATTTTTCCTTGTGTCTTTGCTGTTCTCTTCCCCCATTCCAGGTGTAACTTCAGCAAGGTGGCCAGCTCTTGATCTGGTGGCAGTTCCACCACCCTTTCTGGCCTTGAATCACATGGTGGCTCATCAGTCCAAAGATGCCACTTGATAAATCTTCTTGTATAAACTCGCATTTTGCTTTTTGTTCATAGCTTTATCTCCCTTGTTATCCATTTGTAATGTTTAGGTGGGTAAAACAAAGGGGAAAATTACAAGGATAGAAAAGTAACACGGCACTAATGGAAACCAACATTCCCAGGGGAACTTTGTATTTCCTGACCTGAAATGCTCCAAAGCCTGCCATGAGTCACCACAAACACTGGTTTTTGCTGGCTATGTCTGTTCCACCTAGATAAAACAGGGAGGTTCACACACCAAAAGGCAACCTGAATGCAGGGAGCAGAGCTGGTTTGGAAGCTCAGTAGAAAGCCCATCAACCAGAGATCTAACGAGTTCCTCCATGCTGGGACTTGCATGAGTTGCCTCTGGAAATCTGGGAGCCACAGTGATGATTATTTTTCCCTCTAAAGCATCACAGAGCATTTGAAAGTCTGCTTATCTCAGGATGTTCCACTGAGCCCATCTGCAGCATCACTGTCAGTGATTGCAGTGTCCTTCAACACCCCCACAGCAGGGCTGCCTCATGCTTCAAGCAAAAAATAGGGGAATGAAGTTTGTAGGACTGGTTCCATTTTAGAGAATCCTGCTGCTTAGAAACACAGATGTGAAGATTGATCAGTATATTTGATTTTATTCCATGCTCAGAATAAAGAGGCCTTTTAATGGTCTTTATTCACTACAGCACGAATAAAAGTATTTGTGGATAAGCCCTCAATTGCTGGGGTCAGCTGCAATGGTCCTGGAGAGAGGCAGGACACCAAAGGAAAGCAATGGATGGCTCTGCAGAAAACAAATACATCCCTCCCTCAAATAAAGGCAAGGGGATACTGTTCTCAGCAGCTCGTACCAGACCAGCTCTGATTGTTCTGTCTGGGGACTGGAATGCTGAAATGGATTTCCCTCACAGTTCTATCACATGAAATATCAAAGTATTACATGTGCATTTATTTTTAAACCTGTGGCTTGTGTAGTAAAAATTGGGCTTGATGGTTATGATGTGGAAATGAAAGGCAGCCAAGACTCAGATCTTAATTCAAACCATGCATTCCCCCACTGTGTATTTCTTTCTCTCCTTTTTGTCCAATCTGCTAATGTGACATTCCTTTCCAGTGGGAATTTGCTTGTATTTGCAAGAGAATTCAGATTCTTATCTAACAATACATCCTTTCTCCCTTTCCCATACTGCTTAATTCCTTTGTCTTTCTTGTGACTGACATTGCTCTGTCAGTTTAAAGAAGACATAAATACAATTTAAGTGTAACTTATACTGCCAGGATGGGGTAATGAATCCACACCATAAAAATACTCCTAATGTCTGTTACTTAACTGTGAGGTGTCAGTGAATTCTCAGAACTGATTTGCATGAAGGACATAAGCTAAAAGAGACAATCCAAAAAGCAGGGACATGGGAGTAACTCCAGCTTGTCACCCTGACCCAGGTGGTGCTCAGCTCGTGTCCCATCAGAGTGAGGACAGACATCCATATCCTCAGGATTGGATCATGTCACTGATGTCAACAGGCACCACACCTGAAACAGGCCTCTAGAAAGCACTAACATTGTTCTTTTTCCCTAAGAAAATGTCTGCAGTTTGTCAGTAGCACTGGGAGATACATTAATACACACAGCTGATTATTAGAGGGGTTTTTTTATTTTTTCACTGGCCCATTTCAGTTCAGACCCCATCCAACATCCTACAGCGACAAAAAAATGGATGTAACTGTGGGTTTCCCTGCAGAGCCAGCTGAGATTTGAGAGTTCTTGAAGCTCACTTAAATCAGAAAACACTTAAACACTGTAGGTTTTCTTTTATTTACATTTTGGAAAAGCCTTTATGGTGCTGATTTTAACAACCATCAGCAAGCCAAATGGAACAGCTTTCCTACCTGAGCAGATGGCCACTAAAAATAGATTACTCACAGCTACAGTTTCCAAATATTTAGAAGATATTTCATCTTTGATATTTAAAAGTTGGTCAACCTGTGTCTGTTTTTAGGCACCTAAACCAGTGATCCACTTCTCAGTGGTGATGAGCTCCCCACTGATTAAAAAAAAAAGTATGGGCTCAGAATCTTTCAAGGTCACCTTGTCACAGTAGGTAATTAGTTGCCCAGCTATAGATAAAGATATCTAATTTAAGGCATCCAAGATAAAAAAAAATGAGCTTATCTTCTTTAGATTTCTGAGTATTTGGAGAAACTGCCAACTTTTCAGGACTCGTGTTTTGGCTGCTTTGTGCTACTTATGCAGAACATGTTGCCATTATAATCAAGGAACTAATCTAGTCATTATAGTCACTGAAAGAAAGCCATGGCACAAACTCTGAATTCACTCCTAGGACATTGAAAGATCCACAACAGCACAATGTGTGTGATATTTTATGCCTGGCACTGCACTCCACAGATGCACTGCTGACTGTGCTGGGGACAATACTGAGCCTGCCACAGCTCCAATTCCCCAAGGGCATTTGCTAGGCTGTGCTGGAGCTTGGCTGTTGGGGGTTCTAAAGTGGAGCTAAAGGAAAACACTTGACTAAGAACACATTGACTGTTTTTTCCATATGACAACGCTGAGACACACAGAGTCATTCCTGAGAGAAACAAAACCTTCAGCTGTCTCAACTGTTATTTTTTCAGTTGCATCAGTAAGGTTTGCATGAGTTATCTGGGCCTTTTTATAAACTTGTTTGAGAGGAAAAGACACACAACCAATGAAGTCCTCACAACATTCAAGTATATGCTTAGTTCTGGGCTGTCTCGTTGGAAAAAACCCTTTCAAAAGGGCTTGATTTTCACAAAACACTCAGCATTTGCCTTCAGAATTCCAGCTCCAAAAGGATCTCAGCTGATACACTCTAAATCATGAGTCACTTCTTGCAAAATTTAGCCACAAGCATTCCTACATTTGCATTAATTTTTCTAAGGGAAAGTGACTTAAATGTTATATCCTTCATTCAAACTGCAAACGAAAGGAAAAGATGTCTGTGACTCCTATGCTATTTCCTTTAACACAGTGTGAAATCTATTCCTGTCTTATTTTTTTGGGTGATGCAGATGCAAATTCTTTTTAACAGCCCTTCCTTGGGCAAGCCCTGTCTACAGGCTGAGTAAGGTTTAGGCTTGAGAACAAATGAGTGGCTTACAACAGGTAGAAAGTGAATTGTGCAGTGTATGGAATCACTTCAGGCCTCCAGGACAAAGGTACAAAGTGCTCCAGAAACCAGGGACTGTGCTCAGGACCCTCAGTGACCCAGCAGGACCAGGGTCAGGACTTCAGCTGAACTAACCCTCACATATTCCCAAAGTGAGGAGTGATGCTCCCAGCAAAGCCTTTTATAGGGAAGGAGGCAGGACACTTTTCTCTCTCTGGGTGAGGAGGAGGTGGTGGGAAGGCAGGCAGAGGCAATGGGGGTGGGCAGGCTCCAGATTGGAGGGGCTGGGAGGAGAGGCAGAGCCTGAAGTGGGAATCCACAAGAACATCCTGCTCTGGGTGTGCAGGAAGCTGTGACAGAAGGCACCAAGCACAGAAGGAGCAGGAAAACCTGACTAATTTGGGACCACTACTAACAACCAGATTTCCTTGAGCATTCCAGATCCTGGTGCAGAGAAGGATTTCCACTGCCTTCTAATAGAGTCTAGGTTTTGGGCTTTTTTTCCAGATGGAATCTGGAGAAGAAACAAGAGATTTTTGACTTCTATAACTGAGAAAAAGGTGCTTGACTGGCTCTGGCCTCCTGTTTTAGAGTTGGTATCTTCACCACAGTGTGAACAGCAGGCCCAGGATGAGGTCAGCAGGACAGCAGCACTGCCCAGCAGCCCTGTCCAGCTCTGAGGACTGCTCAGAACCAGAGCCTGGCATGCCCAGTCACTTCTGTATCAGAAATGTGCCACTCTGAGGATCCTGAAATGGTCTTGCAGAGGAACAGCAGCTGAAACAAAATATTTCACTAAAATCGTTTCATAACACAGATGCCAAAAAAAATAATTTCAAAGCAAACCATGTTTACACATTTTTACTCTTCTGAATTCCTTCATAACTTGCCAATTGAAGTGATACATAATGACATGTCACATCATCCTGCCAGGCCATGAACAACAGGAGAAGTGCACTACTGAAATGCCCCAGCTCAATATGCCATAACCTGATGTTCATAAATACCTTTACATACTCAGGACAGATCATCTATGTATCTGAGAAGCTGATAAAACATCTTGGTAGCCTTTCCAGATTCACAGGCTCTTTTATCTGCAATCAAAGCCATGATTCTTCCAATGTTGCTGCAGGACTAATGGTGCTGTGTCCTACAGAACAGGATTGGGTTAGGAAGGCTTCAGTTTTTGTTTTTACAGTCTTTGTCTGAAGACAATGTGTCAGATGTGGTTTTCTAAGCCCTGGAAAAGGGTATAAATGGGTTAATTACATCAGATTCTTATGTTTACAGGATGCAGTAAATGGAACAGATGGGCAACGTGTCCTTCTAGTTTGGACATTTTCCTGTCACTAAGTTATAAAACAAACTAAATTATTTTTATGTTGCAGAAAATTAGGTAGCAATTATCATGAAAATGGGCCATAAAACTTGACTTGAGATCTCTCCCTATCTATGTGAGATGAAAAGAAGTTTCTGCAAGAGGAGTAGCTGTGGACAGACTTAATTGCATGGTCCTCAGTCCCAACCTTCAAATCAACTGACTGAAACAGAGCTTGTTCCACTGCTACTGACCCTTGGATTTAATCTGTGTCAGAGTGACTGTTTGACTTGATTTGGTGGTGCTCTCCAATATTCTTTTCCACAGGGTTGTGACCTGAAACACGCTGTTTGAAAGACCCCCTCTACAGAGATGGGAATTTGCTGGCTAAATTAAGCAGGATCAGCACATGAACTGGATGATGAACCCCCCAAAATCCATATCAAAAATCAGTAAGGAGGCTGGTAGTCTGTCACGACTCCAGGAGGGAAAAGAAATTTATCTGGCCATCTTCTGCCTCTGTTTTACAGCTCTTCAAAATATTAAATTGCCACACACAGAACTCTGTGCTCTCAAGCACGAAAAACAAGGGCATGTTCACACAGCAAACCAGGATCACTGTCCAGAGACTGCCTGTGCAGCAAAAATAACTGATGTCCATTATTTAAAGAAAGGGTTTTAAAAATGTAAGTATTCAGTGTAGTTAGAACTTCTACTGCAGACAAAGTCCGTATTTGAAGGGAAGAAATGAGAAGACAATTCCAGAATATCTCCAGAGGAAAGCAATTAACATGGACACCGACCACACCTACATTTTAAAGTCTAACTTCTAAACTTGTTATGAACTATATATATTATATTTACATTGGTAAAACACTCCCCCATGCCAAAAGGCAACAGCAGTAAATACAGAGTGTGCACTACCTGCTTAGGAGTGTGAAGAAGCTCTTGGGCAACAGTTGTAGCCACGATAGCCCGACTGCTGGCAGCACTCGGCTGGAGGAACAGTGAGAGCCCAGACACCAGCTGCACTCCAAGGTCTGTTATGGTCACTTTGTCATCCAGCACAGTCACTGTCTTCTCTGCCAGGATGGAGTCAGACAGAGGAGACAAAACCTTTGGAGAAACACAAAAGAACCAACTTAGGAAAAGGCCGATCAATTAAAACAACCTTTCTTAAGGTTATTTCAGGGTCATCATCCCTTCTTGTCTCCAGAGCTTCATGCACAGGAAAGAACAGCAGAGCACACTGAAAAGGCAGTCTGATTTCATTAGCAGGGTTGGAAAAACATCAGTGGAGAGGTTCTGGCTGAGAACATGGCATCCAATACTGACAGCCATCCTGTCCCACATGTCTTATTTGCACCATTTCACCAGCAGAGCTGATTTAAAACTTCCTTGCCCTGTTATTCTGTGTGCCCATATGGATGAGCTCATCAGACTTCCCGACTACTTCAAAGGGAGGTTAGAAACACCTATAATTTGTCTTTTATTTCTTGGCTTAGAAATTCTTGTTTGTCTATTTTTCTGTTTCTGATGGAACATGAAGGTAGTAGGATATCCTTCCCTTTAAAGAAGGGCCATGCTGCTGTCTTCAGGGAACTAAGGATAACCAGTTCAGCACATGCTAACTTCTCCACCTTCCTCATCTCATATCTACAGCCTAGATTGGCTGTGTTCACTCTTAATGCATTTGCTTTAGTAAGGATTCAGCAGAGGAAGAACTGGGTGTTGGCCACTTGTGCCTTTCAGGGTTATTAACCAGGCTGCACTTTTCCCCCCCTGAATTAATGTTTAAATAAATAAAATTAAACTTGGTACAATCTAAAGATCCCTGTCTCAAAAAGTCAAAACTGTGCCCATCAGCTGACTGGTGATAACTTGCACCCACATGGGAAAAGAGCTCTCTGACTTCTCACTGAGCATGGAAATCTCTGAAGGCTCTATGGCTTCCAGCTCCATGCCTTGGACCATCCCTAGCTTGGATCATTGTTGTTGGGTCAATGCTGTGTGTGACACCCTAGGAGGTCATGGGAATGTAAGGGGAGATGACCCTGTTCCAAGAGAGCAGAGCACTGTATCAGATACAGCACATGGAGGTTCCCTGTGGGAATGGCAGAACGTGGCAGTCACAGAATCACCAAGAACCACCATCCAGAGCACGGTACCTGCATCGTCGTCATTCCTACTTCCCTTCCAATCAGGATCCTGCCCTCCTGCAGCTTGGCAATGTGAGGATCCTCCAGCTTCATAAAATCCACCACCAGGTCTGTGATGTCAAACTGCCAGTCTGAGCCCAGCAGGTAGCTCAGCTGGCCCCAGGGGCTGGAATCCTCAGCCACGAACTGGGTGAGGACCCGCACCATGGCGTGCTGGTACTGCAGGGTGCACCCCCTTCCCTTCCGCTCGTCTTCATCCTCATCATCGCTGTCCCTGGTGGGCCTTGGGTTGCAAGAAAAGAAAGCATAAAGAAATTATTTCAAGAACATTAGTGAAAACTAACATTAGAGTGCTGATGGAGAGAGTACCCACTTAAATAACAGCCCTCCCTTCTGGTTTTTTGGACCACTGATGATTCTTGGCCACCTCCCATGATGAAGGACTGTACAAACGGATTATGCCACTTTTTGTTTTAAGCTGGCATGTCCAAACAACAACTCTGTAAGTGGACCAAGTGCCCAAGACAAGACACATGCACAGAATCAAAACTCCCACACATTTTAAAAGCCTTATTGTACCTGCAGATGTCCAGAGCAAAGCTGGGGATTCCAGGACTGCTGCTCCTCAGGGAAAGAGGCTGCATTTTGGGTGCAGGTGCTGCATTCATTTTACAAACCGGCCAAGAAATTTAGCAAACTCAAACCCACCTTTTGTTGGAAACAACTGGGACTCTCCAGCCTTTGATCTGGCTCAGTTCTGTGTCTGAAATGTCGATCTGAAGGGGCAGGCGTGGAACCCAGACCGTGATCTGCAGAGGAGCACTCAGATACTGGTAGGTGAAGTTCACAAGTGCATTCACCTTGCCTTTCATTTCTTTGCCATTGACAAAAACATAGTCACATCTGTCAGAAACCTAAGGGAGGGGGAAGAGAGAGAGAGGAAGAAGAAAAGGTAATCACTGCAACAAAACAAGCTCAAAGTGCAACCCCGGCAGCTCGAAACCAGAAACAAACAGAAAAGGCTCCCTTCTCTTTATGCATGTTAATGATGGCCTTTTACAATGGGAGCAGCTGAACACAAAAATCCTTCATTGGCTCAGGAGGCATAATTATGCTGGAGATGCCTGAAGTCTGGGTACTATTTCTGAAGCCGGCGGTTGATTTTCCGTTTGTGAGCAGCGAGCCCATCGCAGTGCCGGGGAATTTTTAATGAGGGAGGCTCCTTCACAGCTTTGTCAAGAGGAACCCAACAAACCCAAACAGGTCTCCACAGAGGCAAGAAGTGAATCAAAGCTCTACCCTGATGATGACCTTCACTGGAGGGGTGACTTGCTTTCAGTCCCCAAGACAAAGCTGGCTCTGCAGTAGATTTCAGCCACTGAAGGGTAACAGAAATCTACTCATTTCCTCTGCAATAAACATTATCTGTTTATAAATGTTTACATTTTGATTAAAGCTGTAACCTATTTCTAAACACTACAGTAGATTTATCATTAATATGTAAATGCTGTCCTGAAATATAAGCAAGCATTATCATAGTCATGTAAGAGTTATACCAGTAATCACTTCTTTAATCAATGTTGTAATTTACAGACCATTGAGTTTTCTCATTTATTACGTTACTGAGTACTAGTGATAAAATCACTCCTGAATATATAAATCATTAAGAGGGATGCAGATAGTATGAAGTGACTCCATGTGATAAAGTCATTGTCATTTCTATTCCTAAAGGTGTCATAAATGTCTAGGGAAATCCTGTGGCACATTAATCATACATTAAGTGGCGAGCAATGGGAGCTGTTACATTACCAAATGAGCTGGTATGTCTGCAGAAATTAACAGCAAACCCAGCAGATCTCAACTCCTCCTCTTGCTCCTGTCCTGTCAGAATTCTATTTCATCACCCATAATGAGCATTGTTAATGGTGGCAATGCATTTCCCCACCTGAACATATATTTAGATTATCATCTGCTCCTTTTTATCCCCGCTCCCATTCCCAATACCATTTTATTCAAATGAAGATTATCAGCTGGAAATGCCTGTGTCCCCAGGCTAATCAGACAGATGGATGTCCCCCGGGACCACAGACACAGGAGCTAAGCTGTTCCCAGTTCAACATACACATCCCATTTGTATCCTCTTTTGGGTTTAGGCACTGCTCATATTCTGGTAAAATATTTGATGGTGAGATTGCAAAAACCAACTTCAGAGAACATAATACAAGCATTTCAATGATGCATTCCCTAGGAGGGTTATTCTGGCAGAGTTACTGTCTCTCTCAGTGAAGCTGCCTGTGTCTCTCCACCAGAGATGAAGACCCTACAAAGTCTCTTAGATCAGATACCTAATCCCTAGATGGCTGAAGTTAAAAGGAATCACATGGAAATAATATACCACACATGAATGTCACCTATGGCAGAACATCCTCAATGAAGTTCAAGGTACAAGGGTGCCCTGGCTGATACAGACTCGAATTTCTGTCTTCCTCTGTGACCTCAGGAAACTCAATTCCATTCTTTCTGTCCAATTTTCCCCCCAGTGTAAACACCACAACCCAGGAAGCCATGGTCAGCCACAGTCAGAGAACTGTAACTGCACTTGGAGCACAGAACAACTCCTAGAGCCCAATGGGAAGTGGTGAGCGTGCCTGGGGGAGAAGACCCTCTGTCTGAAACATTCAACAAAGCAGCTTCAGATAAAGCTCTTGGTTCTCCAGCCTTATCTTCCTTTGAGCAGAAGATTTTGGGAGGACTGTCAGTAAGATCTAATTGAACTCTGCTTGGAGCAGTAGCCACTACTGTCCTGAAACTGGTTCCATCCCATTCCTTTCTGTGGAGTTCAATCCAAAGAGAAAACAAGTGAACTTTCTGTGCCGTACAACTTGCCTATTTGTGCAAATTGTAAACCATGTGCATGTGCTGATAAAAGATTTTTAACAACATACTCGGCTTCAGACTGATCAGGTCTGGTCTGGATGTATGATTTTATATTGTCTAAAACTCAGTGTTGTCAGTAACTGAACAAATCTAACTGTCAGGGAAAAAACACAGTAACAATAGTAGCAAAACTGCAACTCCTAAATGGTTCTGGGCTGAGATCCAATCTCCATCTGTATTTGTAAAGCTGCTCTGTGCCTTCTTGGGTATGCAACAAACAAATGGCTAAACAAATACATATACAGCATCCTAAGGAGGTGGCTGCTGCAGCCACCACACAGCCTTTACAATTGCTACAGGTTAATATTTATTACTGGACACGCACCAGCAATAGTGGGCAGGTCTTTAGGAGCTGCATTGGGAAAAACATTAGTCTTTTCACCAAGAACAAGCATTGCTAATGTCCTTACACATGCTCTTCCTTCTGTCCCTGTACTTCTGATAAAGCAGCACACGAGAGAAGGAGGAGCAAAGCTTACAGTGTAGTGTGTTACTGTATCACTGTACACTTTTTAACTATTTTCAGGAATCCATTCTGGAAGCAACATCGACTGCTTTTGACAGAGAGAGGTAACACTTTCCAACTAGTGCTATAGAGGGGGTGAAAGGGAGAAAAAAAATCTCAGCATCTAATTCACAAGGTGTGTGTGCTCTCCATGGACTAAGGATACTCACTCTCATGAAACATTCAAGTAAAACTATTCCACAGCTTCTGTAAGCAACACACCCAGCTACGCTTTGCAGAAAAAAATGAGAGCAAGTGGGTTTGCTTCCCTTGCCCTTGTCTCACACAGCATCTCTTAAAAAATAAATACACAGGATTTCTCAGCCTTGGAGAACAAATCCAGATGTACTGATTCTGCTACAATTTACCACATCAGCAAGCCCCAGGTAAGGTCTGATTTGCTAAGCAGATGCCCCTCACAAAAAAAGGGGTAAGGGGTGTGTGGTGCCACAGCAGACTCCCTTCAGCTCAGATTAACTCAGATGGAAATAACATCACAGCCAAGTTGGTTCTGGAGTTGTTCAGTGCAGACTTATGGGGTTAAACGAGATGGAAACACAGTACTGGTATGAACAACCTAAAACAACGAAGCATGGAATCATGGAGGAAGGATAGAAGGGAGACTTCAAAAAAATGGATCACATTAGAACTCAAAATCTTCTTAATTAAAAATGTACATTTGTTTAAAATGTTGATAGACAAAAGCATCTTTCTGCTTTCCTCCAGGATTTTGCCAGTGCTACTGGAAGGTCAAGGACCAGCTCTCACGTCTGGGTCCTGCCCACTCTAGTCCAAGAGAGTTTCTAATAGAAGCTGGTGACTCTGGGAACAGTGATCTGTATCTCATCTGCTGTAGCATTTATGCTTTTACTATGAAAACACTGTCCCTCTGAAAGTGCTTTTTATCTTTGGCATCAGAAGAAGTGAGCGATGATGAAGGGAAAGCCTGCTTAGCCACCACCTTTAAGTGATTGGGGTTTTTTCTTTTCTGTGTAGCAGATCAGCAAGAAGTTTTGCATTTTAAAGAGCCCTCTGATGCTATTTCAGCAGTTTCTTTCATTATTAAGCTGCATTCAGCTACTTTTGCCCTTTTTTCTATTTTTCTAACTTCTTTCTCCAGATTAAAATAAAGGAGCAGACAGCAAAAAACAAGGCTAAGCACAATTCCCCAGAGGTTTCTTCTTTGTCTTTCTTTTTTTCTGGCATCATATTTTTGTGCCCCCTTGTAACAAAGGCCATTGCCTTTCCAGATGACTTGGATAGATTCTCTCTGCAACAAATCACATTTTATTGAGCTGACAGAGGAAACTACTGCCTGGAAATCAAGAGAGAGTCACTCCTGAATCCCTACCCACGGCGCTCGGTGACTTTGTGATCCAGGGAGTGACTGTACCTCTGCACCTGGTTATCAAAAGGTTGGCTGAAGTGAATACTAAGGATATTCTGTTACCAGCCAAATGCAGAACCTCTGGATTTTCCTTTATTTATTTCAGATTAAGGTCTTGATCCCACCATGACCTCTGTATTGCAGAACTGCAAGAAGGGAGCAAGAGCTGCTTGAGGTCACCACAAAGGATGTGACAATGCACTGCAGCCATAAAGGGGCTGTTGGCACTTCTACAGAATATTGGGTTTGCTGGGTTAAATTCCACTACAGATTCCTGAGAAATCTTCCTTCAATTACTGGTGGAGGCAGATAGTTTTAAAAAAGACAAATGTCACGTCAAATATAAGCCAAGGCTGTCTTTCAAAAGATGGTGAACTCAAAACACTGTCTGTTCTGGTTCGTATCTGTTGCACACAGGAGTGGAAAGAACAACAACTGTAAGACCTAAAAATAAATGAGTGGTGCTGCCTCTGAGAGTCTGGTCTGTTCTAAGCTTGTTTATTCTCCCAGTGGTTTTGACCCCTGCAGATATCAGCCCAGTCTCTGAAGGACAGTTCAGAAGGACAAAACGGGAAGTTTTTAATGCAGCAACCCTGTCAAGTTTATGGACACTGAAAAATGGCGAGGCATCAGTCCATTTTCTAGGTAGATTTTAATCCGTGTGATTTTAATACTGAACAGAATGAGGAGATATGATAATGGTACCTGTCATGCTTGTATTCATCAGGTTCAGAATCTAGCATTTTGGTATGTAAACCCATTTACCCACTTCTGTTATACTAATGTAAATGTTGCTAAAATATTCAAAGGTTACATAAATGTTTAAATATTTATGAAAGCACTTCTGTGAGCAAAGAGATTTTTCCAGTGTCTCTTAAGGAAATCTCAATTTCAGTGTATTTCAGCACAGCACCATCACTCTGACATACCAGGAAGGTAATTGAAGCTCATGGAGGTCAAGCTTTGTGAAGAGTCACTCATTCCATTAAGGAATACAGAGGACCAGGATGATTTATCCACCATACATACATACATACATATTATTACATAATATATAGGAAATATCAGACAGTGATAATCATTCCACAGGCTTTTTGGACAATTCTTTAGAATTTTGTATTATTCATGTCCTTGCTATAGAATTCCTTCTAAGATTTCCTTTTAACAACATCCTCTGTAGAAAGGGAATTATCCTCTATTAAATTGTACAGGTTTTGAAAGAGAGACTCCGTGTAGCTCTCCAGCCTTGATTCCAATTAAACACTACAGTCTTACACACAAAGGAAATCCTATGCTACATGAACATTAGGCAACTGCCTCATAAGAAGGATTTCAATGCCTGGCTGCATAATCCTGGATAATCAGTAACCTACTGGAAAACTGAAGCTGTCTCAAGGCCCATACTATTCATTTTTTCATAATAAACTGTTTAAGTCTGATAAGAGTTAAAGTTTCAGACCTGAGCTCTTCCATGATATTTACAGCTTTGTGACACTGTTAGAGCAGCCTTTAAAATGGAAACCTCCATTACAGGAGTTGCTAATTGCTGGTGTGACTTGACTTTGCCAGAGACACCCCCCACTCCCACTGATGCAGCTGAAACTGTGCTCAGTGACTTGGAAAGCAAAGCCAGAAGCTCCCTCCCAGGGTGAGCACAAAGGTAAATACAGCCCTGCAGAATTAACTCTGATAACACTGTCATCTTAATAAATTAAAGGCTTGATTTTTTTCACATTACGTGCAAGAATAACCCTGAGAGTTGTTTTTACCTGCAACCCAAAGAAAGAATGGATCTGTTCCTTGCAATAGTTGAGGAATAATGATTCCCATTCTGGACACAGGGAGCAGGGCAGGTACACCTTTATTAACTGATTTAAGCCTCATGCTGCCTCTCTTAGCATTAACTGTGCCCAGTTTTCAGTGGATAACAGGGCCTGTGTGTTGGTGTTTCTTTGTGCTTGTAAACAGCTGCCACATCCCAAATGTGGGTTCAAGCCCTGTGATGGGTCCTCAGGCAACATTCCCAGCAATCCACACTAATAACACAGGGATTGAGCCCTGAGTGCTGAAGAAGAGAACTCTGTAAAATCAGGACCATAGTTTGAAAGCAATTTGGGCTCTCTCTGCTGAGAAGGGTCTGCATTTTCGGTATCAGCAGCCAGATAAGCAAAACTAAGCAGAAACCCCCCAAAGCTAGAGAGCATTTCTTAGGGAAAAGGCTGTACATTATCTAATCTCATTACAAAGATTTCACTGGCAGCTTTGCAGAGCAGAAGCAGTACATTGAACTCACTGAATATCATTCACTAAGACAGAACTGAGAGAGTAAAAGGGGCACAAAATGCCAGCTGAGACTGGAGGGCATCTATTTGCTCCCAAATGACCAGCTTTTGAAGCTGAACTGTAGCTGCACTGAGCCACAGGAGCTCTCTGCAGCTCCCATTATCACAGAAACCAAAATCTGTCTTGTTTTGTGCACTCTCGAGTCCAGCAATTTCTGGAAATGGGGCCGAACACAGAGTTTGGCTCCTGCTCACTGGGGATATTCCAGCCCATACACACAGCACAGCCCCAAATTTCTTGCTTGGCAAAGCAGGATCCCAGAGTGAAACG